ATTGCATGAACTTTTATTGTTTACAATGAAGAAACCAGTACCTACCTTATAATAATATAATATACATTTGAATTAGAATCATTGTATAAATGTTGGTTGCAATGATTCGATCTTGAGAATAACTTGAGGTCCTCAATTGCTGGAGATCCTTGTTTATGTAAATCGATGATATTGTTCATTCTGAGCAGCCTCTCCAACCATATCTTCTTTTCCAACCCCTTCACTAGAATTCCATCTCCTTCATAAGAGCCAGTGATATTTCTTGATGAATTCAATTATTTCTTCATACCCATACCATATTGTTGTAATAGCTGATTCCATTCCAGTCCATGCAAGTGTTGAGTGGACCATTCCGATCATTTTTATGTTTGAAAACTGTGGGATTGTAGTGTGATATCAATGATGAATACCACCATTGTCCACATCAAAATGGCAATTTCTCTGCACAAAAAGTAACTTTTTCCATACTGGAAACCTTGTACGTATTTCAAGAAGTCAACTCATTATTCACTATTTTGCGAAATGATTTGGAAATAACCAATTTGCAATTAGTGCATACGGCAATGTTTTTGTTGTTCATACTCAGTTGGAAATTTGACGTTGATTTGACGTTAAATAGAGCCATCTATTGGTTCGTGATTTTCGCGAATAAGGAATCTCCTATTCGCGGTAGTCAAGATCATCATCTGACGTTCTGATGACATTGAAACTATACGGAAAAACATGTCTAACTTCCAATCGGGAAGGTATCTAATGAATGAAATCAGTCAGAAATAAAATTATCTATGTATCACGGGAATTACTGAGCCTCAATAACCTCAGGCAATTGCTGTCCCTCGGGCCAGAGGCCCTCGGGACGCAAACTTTGCCATCGGTAATTAAGGCCCTCATAATTCCCTTAATACATAAATAACTATAACACAAAAAGATCACAAACTTGAAAAATATAGATTTTGAACACCCTATATCTCTTTAAACATTTCAGCTAGTCCCCAAGTGCGATACATTGATAAAATCAGCTCTTAAGGGAGAATCTGAGAATGGAATAATATACAGGGTGTCTCATTTGAAAACATCCATCATCAACCGATATCTTGGAATTCGAACACCCTATATATAGATATGAAAATAATTTTAGGTGATAGTTCCCAAGAAACCCTATAACTTGTTGTATTCGAATTTTTTCTATATATCTGACGGTTTCGCTAGTATAGAAGGAGAACACACTATTGACTCACCCTGTATAAGGTACGTTACAATCAGCACTATAACAAAATTTCGCTACACCACTCGCTTTCTTTTTTTTTTTATCTTATGGAGCACACGAGAGGAAATTCATATATAATATTCGTGGAACACCGTGCGTACCAAGGGAGGAAAAGGAGAGAAGGTATAGGTGTTGGAATTTTTCTTTGAACTTTTGGGGGTTATAATAAGTTCTTCGGAATGATTCCATTGGCAAAGAATTCCTAAGCGTCTCCGTTCTATGAACGAACGAGTTTTGGTAGAGTGTGGTTCAACATTTTCCAAGGTCAACGACCAAAGGATGTGCTGACTGGGCAAGTCTAGTTCGTCTGACTGGTATTGCTTGTGATGGAATTTTAGCAGAGATTTCTGAGGAACATTTCCCATGCGAAGAATCTATAGAAAAGCGAAAGGTCGCCGACATGATGACGTGATTTTCCCAAAAGAAAGGTTATTGCTGATAGTAATAACAAGCATCGAAATGGATGCCTTCAAAGGTATGGTTACTCCTGACAAGCTCATGTTGGGCACAGTGAGATCGGCTTTCCTAGAGAAAAGGCATACTTGTGTTTTGTTTGCATCGAAATCTACCAAGTTATTGGATCCCCATTCGAGAATTGTTGCCAAGTCCATATTTATGTTGTCAACATTTCTTCCTCGTTCGTTTCTGATTTACCTGGCTGGTATTGGAGCCCTGGAAGAGGAGGCGGTATGGAGGGTTCTATCATCCGCGAAGCTGTGTACTAGACATGCAGTTGCTTCCAACAAATCGTTGATATAGAGTAGAAATAGTGCTGGTGCTAGAATTGATCCTTGCGATACACCAGCATTTATGATAAGAGAGTCAGATGAAACTCCGTCGATCACTAGATGGAGAGACCTGTTTGAGAGAAAACTAGCTAGCAGAGAACATAGCTGGGAAGACAAGCCATAAGATGGAAATTTGGCGAGGAGTCTGTGGTGCCAGACTCGATCGAATGCCTTGGAGATATCAAGTGCCACGGCTAAGGTTTCACCATATTTTTCAATAGATTGTTGCCATATGTGAGACGAAAGCGAGTAGGTCACCAGTTGATCTCGGATGACGGAAGCCATATTGCCTATCGTTGATAATACCTGAATGTTCCAGGTATTTCTTGAGCCCGATGTTGATAGGTATTCTAAAACTGGCTCTATTTATGCTTTGTAGATCATGAGAATCTGTTGAGGAGTAAAGTATAGACTTTCGCACGGAACAAGCATCCGAGTTTTTGTGAAACAGCTTTTGCGATGGATCGAACATGGTTTTTCCATTACAGAGTATTGCTGATGGTAATGCCGAGCATAGATATAGTGGTCTTGGTGGGAATGGTGATACCAGACATTGTTATATCACCACCTTAGGTATCGATTCGGACGATTCGGAACAATTGAACATGGGGGGCACCCTTGACCGAGAACAGACCTAACAAAAGTAAAAATGAACGCAATCTGTAGCGATGGCGCCCCAAAACTGATGTAAAACAATATCGAACTCAATCAAAATAAGTCGAACTATATATGATTGTCGAATGATTGTCTAATTTTTAATCATCGTCCAGGGTGACCATCAGACGTAGTCTATATTTTTTTATTTGGGAGATAAAATGACCTCTTTTCCGAAGTCGGACCCGTTTATAGTTAAAATTTGATGATAATAATAAGATGATGATTAAGAAAAATGAGAAAACTGAAAAAAACATCAGTCTTTCAATTTTTCTACGAACTTTTAGCGTTCTAAATGTTTTTTGTCTGTAGTTATCATGTGTGATAATACCAGGGGCGGATCCAGGTGGGGGGGTTTGGCCTCGCGAACCTCATGATGTAAAAATTTTGGTATACTTACTGGATACCAGAAAACATCTGTGTATGTCCCCACATTAAATATAGATAATGACAATAATTTTAAGATAACTTCATTTTCACTCTTCTTTATCCAATATCGAGTATTCAAGAAATCTACATCTGTGTCTACATACGCGTACGCATACTAAAAACGCGTCAAACTATAGCGCTATTTTTTTTGTTTGTTGTAATACCTACTCAATGATGAATGTACTCTGTTTTTATTTTCAAAATCTGGTCACCCTATAACCGTCACACATGTGAATTGCTGTAGTTATTTATTGTCCACGTATACAATGCTAGAAACTCAAAAAGCAATGATTATTGGGACAAACATTATTTGAATTCATCAATAAGCATAATTCAGATGACGAGCTATGTCAATACAAAATCTAAATGGACTGAATTCATAAAATACTCATAATAATGTAATAACACACTTGCATTATGATGGTAGTACATGTCCACAAGATAGCGAATTACAGAATGAAGATACTATACTGTTGTAATAACAAATTGATCAGGAATAGAAAATTCCTTTATAATACTACCCTAAAAACACAAGTAAATCCTAGGTTCTTCCCAGGGACGTCCCTAATTTTATACTAGGACATCCCAGGGATATCCTTAGTCGGGACGAAGTACATACCTGAATGAATACAACTCTGTTAGAATTTCATGTATAACTATTATCATTATTGGGTATTTAAAAATGAGGGGCATTATGCATTTACAATTTCTGTTTGCGAAAAATGGTAATTTCTTAAGAAGTTCTGAGACTATATTCCTTATTTTCATTACAATTATTTTCCGGAAGAAAAACAAACATTTTCAAAAAAATTCATCTCAATATCTTGATGAAATTCAATGACTGATGTGAATGGGTATCAGATATTCCAGGGACACGAATAGGATGACCTAGGCATGTACCACTGCGGAACATCCCCTGGATGCCCCAAAATCATGTCCTTGTACCGCGGGATAAAAAACGGACGTACCCAGGACATTCCTGTGTTGTTAGGGTAAAATCAGAGCTCTTGTAGATATTTTCGATACCCGCAGTGTCTCTTGGTGCATCTTCCGCAAACTGTTTTTTTTTCTCATGTGTAATCACATATGATACTATTCAGCCGTGATATTCGTTGATTACCTATTACATCTTGTTGCCTGATAGTTTTGCGAATTGCATTGATTTTCAAAACTTTATAGTCGTAGGCGAGAAGTTTCAAATCAATTTTATGAGCGAAAATTAAAGCATCAAGCTGGAGAATATCAATCAAAGAATATTTCCAGCAAATATAGCATCACGAGTTGTATTCGTATGAATATTTCATTATTGATACAATAAACGAACGCCTCGCTAGAGTTGCGCACACTGCATCCATCGTCCTGGCTTCAAACATAATTAACGTTATCAACGTTGAAAATTTAATCGCCGAAGAACGAGGTTGATTGGGGGTCAATTCGGCCTCTGTATTGGCAGAGCAAGTCTGATGATCTTAAGTAAACAAAAAATATCGCTGGAATATAGGAAAATACGTGAAAATGGTTCTCGGGAAGAAGAGTGGAATAGTCGTTCAAAAATAATGTGAGTCTGTGCGTCTAAGCGTTGGCCTCTTCGATGTATAACCCTGTACACATACTCAGGCACCACCCTGTATAGATTTTCACTTCATCTGATATTCTGTTCATGCTATGCTACATTTTGAACTTTTTCAATGATATTTCCTTTGCAATTCCCATTATTGTGTATTTTACTGTATATTTTGTTTCGATTTATTCAATATCATCTTCGATTATTCTACTGACTAAATTTTTTAATCATCATTACTTTCATCATTTTGATTATTATTATCATTATTAATATTATTATTATTATTATACCTACTTACTTGAGGACGGCTATCACACAAATTATGGAGAAACAGGAACAATCCTAGACAGATACAATGTCTGTACGAATCCATTGTATCATGCACTGAAGTTTACTAGAAACTGAAAATGCTTTTCCTATTATCAATAATCTCACAAAAAACTATTACTTTCAAGATAATAGCTAGTACATGTAGAATGAGACTAATTATTCGCTTTTTGTTAAAATAATGATGGATTTTCAATAATTTGTAAACTCTGATATTAATATAATTGGAAACTACATTAATTTTCGGAATATCACACACAGCCAGACAGCTTATTGATCACAAAGCAATTGAACTGACAAGACAAGATTCTAGTTGCAATTTCAAAGAAAAACTTGTATGCGATTTCGAAACTGATAATATAAAGGAATTCAGATAAGATTTCCTTTTAATATCTTTTCATCATTCAAATTCCACACTGGCTCTTGTCTTCCTCATTCTAGGATTTAGATGAATAATTTCAAAACATCATATAAAACGTGCGAAGTGATAAGAAATTCGCATTCTTTGATAACCATATTTCAATATCCCAGTATAAAGTACCATAAATTCTACAGGGTGAACTAGAGACCAAAATAGGCTGGTTGAAATCAACCCACCTCTATACGAAAATACACCGTTGAAACCGTGAGACGGCGATGAAAAACAATTTTATTTACAGATTTTCTTCAGTAGTTCGAAATCCTCGAAAGGTGCTGCTTTGAAATTCATAGGGTAATTTACTATAGTGAATAGGCATGAAAATCATATCGAACCATTTCAATCAATTTAATAATTATTATAATGATAATAATAATGATACTAATAATAATAATAAATGGTTGAAGGTTAAAGCCCATGAAGAGGCAGGAGTAGGAGCTTTTCTATTTAGGGCAGCACGTCGAGCAGCCGATGAATTGTCTCTGATTTTCGACTCCGAGCGTGGGGCTCAGAACTCAGTTACTGAGCTGGAGCCTGCTCGAAGAAAGGCCTGCATCAAAGTTGCTGAAGTGAGAAAGCTCCTGCAGCTTCACATGGATAAGCCCATGCATTTGGTCTACTTCCAGACCATTGAAGACCGGGGCCTATCCAAAGAACTGACTTTCGCTTTTCTCAAGTCAAGCGGGCTTAAATCGGAAACAGAGGGGTTCATCATGGCATGCCAGGATGGGGTTTTCAACACTCTCGTCTACCGTAGCCGTGTCATGGGTATGGAGGTCCCTGACACAAATTGCAGGGCCTGCCGCAGGGCGCCGGAGACAGTTATGCACCTGCTGTCTTCTTGCACGGTCTCGGCCTATATCCATAGACACAATGCGGCATTGCGAGTGCTCTATTATCACTTGAGGCACTCGTACGGAATAGACGAGACCCCAGTGCTGACCTATGCTACGGGTGATATTGAGCCCGTTGTGGAGAATGAGAGGTGCCGAATTTATTGGAACTTCTCATTCCCCACCCTCAGGCAAATACAAACTAAAAAGCCTGATGTAGTCCTCCTCGATCATCAAACCAAAGCGATGTTCGTGATCGAGTTTTCGGCTCCAGCCGAACCGAACATCGTTTTGAAGGAGGAGGAGAAACGGACTAAATATCGAGATCTTCTCTTCGAACTCCGCAGGCTCTATCCAGAACATTCTGTGGAATTGGTCATCCTGATAATCGGCTCCCTAGGAGGCACACGACATACGCTGCTCTCGGAAATCCAGAAAATCCCAGCGTGCACCGATAAGTCACACATCCTGGCTGTTGGAATGCAGAAGGCCGTCATACTTGGATCATTGCGTTTACTCAGGGCACAAGGTTCTTGGTCCCAGTGATTATTCAACCCACAGGCTGTGGGGAGTAGTCACTGGATTTTATCCAGTACGACTCTGCGTGGCGTCGGAGGCCGCAGGGTCGTGACTGGAATGATATAAATTCGAATAATAATAATAATAATAGTCCTGCTGGTTTACTCAGGGCACACGGATCATGAGCTCAGTGATTATTCACCCCACAGGTTGTGGGGAGTAGTCACAATTCTATTCAGCACGACTTTGCGTGGCAGCGGAGGCAGCAGAGTCGTGGCTGGAATTATATGAATTCAAATAATAATTTCATCTAATCTCAAGAGAGGACGATGCGAGAACTACGACAAGGACGCGTAGCTCGTGGACGGAAGCATCCTACACCACCTGGATGCCGGAGAGACGTACACCTACCTGGGTGTAGAGGAAACTCACATCCAGGAGGCACAACGGGCGAAAGACGCTCTCCGCAGTAAGTATCGGCAGCGGCTCCGACAGATCTGGTCGTCAGAACTGTCAGGACAGAACAAAGTCGCTGCTACTAACATGCTTGCTGTTCCGATCCTACTCTACTCATTTGGAGTGATAAAGTGGAATCAGGTCGAGCTGCGATAACTTGACGTAAGTACTCGCAAGATGGTGCATCTCCATAGGAGTCTGCATCCGAATTTGTCCGTTCCACGGTTATATATACCTAGAGACCAGGGTGGCCGTGGACTCTTGAGCTTGGAGTATCTTCATAACAGAATGGTTCTGGATGGCGCCTGCAAAGTCATCAGGAATTTGGATCCCCTCCTGCAAATAGTTAAAACCCACGAAGAGGCATGAGTAGGAGCTTTTCTTTATAGGGCAGCACGTCGAGCAGCCGATGAATTGTCTCTGATTTTCGACTCCGAGCGCGAGGCTCAGGACTTAGTTACTGAGCTAAAGCCTGCTCGGAGAAAGGCCCACATCAAAGCTGCAGAAGTGAGAAAGCTTCTGCAGCTTCACATGAATAAGCCCGTGCATTCGATCTACTTCAAGACCATTGAAGACCGGGGCTTATCCAAAGAACTGACTTTTGCTTTTCTAAAGTCAGGCGGGCTTAAATCGGAAACAGAGGGGTTCATCATGGCATGCCAGGATAGAGTTTTCAACACTCTCGTCTACCGTAGCCGTGTCATGGGTATGAACGTGCCTGACACAAATTGCAGGGCCTGCCGCAGGGCGCCCGAGACAATTATGCACCTGCTGTCTTCTTGTCTATCGTGGTAATGACTTTGAGTTTCTCTCTTCGTGACCATTGCATATTTGAGTATTTGGCTTTTTCCTAGTTGATTTCTGGTCTAAATTACATAACAAACATTTTTCTATAATCAGACTTAGCACCTTCATCCAACAGGAAAAACGGTTGGATTGGAAGAAGGTGACTAAATACCTAGGCTTGCATTCTCCCAATGGATTACAAGCCACAAAACGACAGATATCCGGATGTCATTCACAAATGAAGCCCAGTTTACACAGCACAGTATCGTTAATCAAATAAATTCTCATGTGTGGACAAGTGGAAATTCGCACAAAGGAAAACATGCCTATTTCCAACATATATTTTCAATTAATGTTCGGTGTTGTTTGATGAACAATTCATTAATTGGACCTTTTGCATTTCCTCAAAGATTGATGAACGTTCTTCATTTGAATTTTCTCCAAAATAATTTGCCTGGTTTGCTATAGTGAACATTAATTCATCAGTAACAACATTTCCGAAATGGTGCTCCGCTTCATTCTGGTGTTGAAGAAACGCCTAGATATTCAATTTCTAAATCGTTGGACTAGGTCTTCACATTTCAACCCTCTCGATTATTTTTTGTGGAAACATTTGAAACGAAAGGTCTATCCCATTGGAAACAGAGAAGAGTTTTACTGTACTGTATTGTATTGTATTGAAAATTAGAGTAAATCCTCATATGATTCTAATTTGGATTGGTCTATTCAAACGGGCATAAGAATGCAGGAAGGCTGGTGGAATGCATTTCGAAAATTAATTGTGATATTTCATTTAATTTTTTGTGTTAAGTTTCAAGTTGAATGAAAAAAAAAATGGTATTTTTCCCGAAAAGTAATATCTCATTCTGATGGTACTTCAAATCTGCCAAAGAAGTTATTCATTTTTTAACGCTTGGAGCGCACGAAATGAAATCCCTATAATGTTCAAAGAACATCTTGCGTTCCGAGGAAGGATAAAGACAGGAAGTAGGTATTTGAATTTTTTTTAACTTCTGGAGATAATATGTTGTTGAGAATACTTCCTCAGGCAATGAATTCCAGAGCCTAGCCGTTCTATGGATGAAGGAGTTTTGATAAAGTGAAGGGATGATAGCAGAGATTTCCGAAGAACATTTCCCGTGGAAGTATCGATAGGAAAGTGAAAGGTCGCCGAGCTTTCTACGGTGTTCCAATGATGTCGAAGAGTGAGTGAGTGTGGCGTCAACCACCAGGCGAATGGCTCTCCTCTATATGGAATCTAAGAGCATCAGCGTATGTTTTGGTGCTGAACCCCATATGTGGGAACAGTATTCTAGAACAGGCCCTATCTGCGCTTTGTAGATCATGAGAAGCTGTTGAGGTGTAAAGTAGCTTTTCGCACGGAACAAGAATCCGAGTTTTTGTGAAGCATCTTTTGCGATGGATCTGACATGATTATCCCATGAAAGAGTGTTGCTGATAGAAATACCGAGCATAGATATGGTGGGCTGGTGGGGATGCGTGGTGCCAGACATTACAATATTGGGCATACTGAGTTCCGCCTTTCTAGAGAAAATACAGGCTTGAGTTTTGGTGGCGTTGCATTCAACTAGGTTGTTGGTTCCCCAGACTGTGATTTCAGCAAGGTCTTCAATGACAGCATCGACCTGCCTGCTCCGTGAGTTCTTAGTTTCCTGGGAAGAAATGGGAATTTCGGAAGAGAACGCAGTATGGAGGGTACTATCATCTGCAAAGCTGTGGATGGGGCAAGTTGTTACTCCCAACAGATCATTGACATGAAGAAGGAATAATGTTGGTGCCAAAATTGATCCTTATTGTGGAACGCCGGAATTGATGCCAATGGTATCAGACGATACACCGTCCACCACAACGTGAAGCGATCTGCCTGAAAGAAAATTCGATAAGTGATGGCATAGCTGAGGTGGTAAGCCGTATGATGGTAGTTTGTGGAGGAGTCCTTCGTGCCAAACACGGTCGAATGCTTTCGATATAACCAACGCGACAGCTAGAGATTCCCCGTGTTTTTTTAATGAAGCTTGCCATAAATGGGTGACGTAGG